ATCTTGTTGTCAGCTGTTGGTGAGGACACTGGAGAGCAGCTTTGGGAGTCAGATGAACCTGGTATGACACTTGACCGTATAATGCAGTGCCAGGAGAGGAGAGCTAGCCCATAGAGGGTTGGCACACAGAGAACAGGCATGCTTGCTTCCAAATGGGCTCTTCCAAAGGGATCAGGCCCAGACATATGCAAAAGGAGGGTTTCCAGAAGTAGTTACTTAGACTGGGTTCAGTGAACTGCTCTGTGCATGCTCAGAGATAAATTCTGTGGTGACTGAGTTCATTGGGCATACTTTGGTGAATAGCTTTTTGCAAAAGAACAATTTGTTGCCTTGAATGTGCAAAGGGAGCTCACAACACTGAGAATCTTCACCTGCCTTTTCCACAGAATTGAACAAATCTTTCTGAGCAGACTGTTATGTGCAAGAGCTGTTCCTCCCTCTACAAAGATGACGTCAAAAAATGTTGCTGGCCATTCTGTAATTAAAACTCCTGAAGAAACAAGAACCAGAAATAATCAAGGATTTCCATTTTTCATGTACCGGAATTAATAGGAAACCACTTTTTTGAAGTTCTATTTCGTTTAAGTCTTTAAAATAACCTGTTTACATGTAGTGGTAGTAAGTGGAGCTAAGTATAAATTTCTGTGACTCATGTAATAATTTAAAAATCGGTTTGCCACAAAATTCAATAAACACTAAACAATCATTTCTCCTTCTCCCCTAAAAGGTTAAAGTTATACAGGTTGCAGTCAAGCATGATAGAGCAGAGAAATTATGAACTAAGTCTCGCCAGCCTCTTCACTACATCCTACACACAGAACGTCCAAGTGAAATCCTCTTTCTCCCAAAGGGGATTCTCCATGTGAAGTGAATGGAGAATATGATAGGGAGAAATGACTGAGGAATTGTGGGAAATTGACAGCAGCAACGTAGGGTCATCTATCGTTTGTAAAGCAGCCTCCAAAGCTGCTGCTCTCAACATATACATATATATTCCTTCATTGGCAACTGGCACCCACTTTTCCAGAATTAGGAAATTAGGACATGTGAGATCCACCAAGATCCTGAACTTTTCCAAACACTGAAACTAAGCTACCTTAAACCAAATGAAGAGACAACGAATGAATCTTGAATCAGAATGTGCTACAACTTGCCATCTGGCTGTAGTCCATACCTCCAAACAGAACTACTTCTACTACTTGCAGAAGACTGGGTCTGGTACCACAGCTCATTATAAGCAGCAGGTGCAGTTTGCAGAATTTACTAGAGAGAGTGAGAATTTGTCTTTTCTTTTTGATGAAGTGCTTCATCAAAATCTGGAATCAGGACAAGGCTGAGGTTAAGATTTACAATGACTGCAAAGCACCACAGAAAGGTTATCTTTGCTATGAATAATCGGTGTATTGGAAAGGTATTCTCACTGACTGAATAAAATGGGCCCTAAAGCATTGCATCAAAACAAGCATGCCCAATGATTTTTTAAAGTGCTTCTTTATTTTGGACTATGTTTTGGTGTTTCTTTGCCATGATCTGTTTTCTTTCATGAGAAATATGACTTCCAGTGATATAATGTGTCCTGATTAAAGGAGTAAGGACATGAAATACTCCATGAAAAGTTCACTAGTCTTGTCACTAGAACTGTTTGTGAGGAATAGAAAAATCAATGCATTTTTTCCAGTTTTAACTGGCAGATTTTGTTCAGTTTCTGTCCCACTGACACAATTCAACCTCTATTGAGTCTCAATCTGCAGATCTGGGGTTTTATTTAATGGCACCAATCTGGATAAATGGAGGGAGGATCCTGAAATGTGCACAAAAGGAGTCATTTTTTAAAACCTTGACCCCTGATCTTTCATAAGTGTACAAGGCTACAGAGCCAGCTATTTAATATGTGTGGCCTTGGTTTGTCAATTTTCCTGAATATTTCAGCTGTCAATGGGACACTGAAGCAGAGCAGGTAGGAAGCAGAATAGGAAGGCAATTGCATTCAGGCTAATTTGTGCATAGTTGTGAAGGGGCAGTGGAAGTAATAGTAAGGTAAAGGAGAAACTCCTTTGTGAAAATCAGAAGCACCTAAAATTAAAAAGTGAATGAAGTGCACTAATTCTATGCACCAAAAAATAACACCTTCTACCTAGTAATATAACTTTCTCACTAATAAGTGTTCTAATGACACTTGGTACAGTCTTTCACCCTTCAATCATTTTCCTGAGTTACCAGCAAGTCTAGATTATTATTTAGATTATTTAAGCAAAAGACCTCCAGATGTACCTCGGATTTTGCTTCAGGAAAATCCTAGCAGTAACTTGTCTGTAAAATGTTATGCCCAGAACTAAAACTTTAAGCACGTTGTATATTTTAAAATAGTTATGTAGATAATTACAGTGCACTCATCAGCACTGCATTTTAGTGTTCAGACAGATATTAAAAAGTGTACCATTACAGGATGCAGCCAAAATCCCACACGGTAAAAGTATCATATGATCAAGAGATTATGGCAATGGGATTCTGGTTATCGGAACAGAGTAAGGTTTATTCCAAGGATTGAGAAATATCCAGATGTATCTCTACTTTAATCACAGATTAAAGTTAGAATTACATGACATAATCAAGGATTATTTTCCACCTAGGAAGAACTAAAATACTATGGGAGAAGGTTCCAGCCAACTACCTGGTTTCATTCTCTGTATCAATTTGGACTCAAGAAAATGCCCTGCAACAGGATAAAAAAGGGAAGGATTCTGTGTTATTGACAGTGAAGAACTGAACACCACTTTTAAACCCTTTAAGAGTGGCTATAAATCCCACCAGTTAACATATTTATTTATTTATTGTTTATTTAGTAAACTTCTATGCCGCCCCATCTGCCGAAGCCTCAGGGCGGCTTACAACAATAAATAAATACATATAATCATATAAAAACAATATAATTGGAAACACCCTGGCCAAAGATATAAAATCAATAAATAAGCTGACAATTAAAATGCCGTTTAAATAAAAAGGTCTTGGCCTGGCGCCGAAAAACATATAACGACGGCGGCAGGCGGACCTCTCTGGGGAGCGCATTCCATAGATTGGGCGCCACCGCAGAGAAAGCCCTCCTAATATCCTTCACGGAGGGTTCCCGGAGAAGGACCTTTCCCGCTAATCTCAAGGAGCGGGAGGGCACGTATGGACGTAAACGCTCCTTTAGGTAACCAGGACCCAAGCCGTTAAGGGCTTTATAGGTCATAACCAACACCTTGAATTGGGCCTGGACTTCAATGGGGAGCCAGTGGAGTTGACGGAGGACTGAAGTCATGTGAACATAACGCCCAGTCCCCATCAGTAGCCTGGCAGCTCTGTTTTGCATCAATTGAAGTATCCGGACCATCTTCAAGGGCAGCCCCACGTACAGCGCGTTGCCAAAGTCTAATCGGGAAGTTACCAACGCGTGTGTCACTGTCGCCAGGGCAGTCGTTCTCCAGGTGATGGATCAGCCAAAGCTGAAAGAAAGCGCTCCTCGCCACTGCTGTTACTTGAGCTTCCAGTGAAAGCTCTGGGTCGAAGAGCACTCCCAAGCTGTGGACCTTGTCCCTAAGAGGGAGTGCAACCCCATTCAGGACATATGTTTTCAAGAGCAGTGTCCCAAACATTCTAGCCAGAATTTATTTTGACTGACTTAATCATGCATAGTGTCATGTTGCGATTATAAAGTCTGCCACAAATGAAGTCACCTTTGTCATAATAAAGAGATGAAATGATTAATTCACACATAGTTAGGGGAAAGGTATCCTGATTACTGTAACACAATGCTTGAAAGGCTGAGTTACCCATCAGGTTTCTTGTGGGAACCATGGACAAACCTCAGTAGATGTATACTTCCTATAAGAAAAAAATAACCCTAGAAGCAAGATTGATGCTGAAGAAATAAAGTTAACATCCTTAAATAAAGGTCCAGAACAGTTGATAGTGAACATCAGTTGTGCTTTAGCAAAAAGATTAGAAATCTGGTTCAGAGATATGAATAGGTAATATTTTGGAAAACTCTGAGGACTGGTATGCACAATTATCACATTAGTATTGTCACATTATATGTTACTTCTCCCAAAATGTGTGTCAATACCCATATGAGGAAAATATTTCACAAGCAGACATTGGCAACCATGTTTCTTTTGGCCACCACAGGTGGCATGCCTCATGGCATGCTCTGAGGGTAGCTAAAGCAATCATGTTGCAAACCTAAGCAGGTATGGATTTGCGTGGATGGGACAAATGCTGGGAACCACATGGGCACTGCCTTAAATTTCATGATAGAAGAAAGGTGATTTATAAATCTTATGAATTAATAAATGAACTCCACAACACTTGGAAAATCGATAAAAGCTTGCTTGTGTAGCTGACTGTGCCTATTGTCCATAAAATCCAGCAAAACATTATATGCATAAATCCCGGAAAATGAATAACAGTTTTGCTTGGATATTCCACTAATGCCACAGTGACATAAGCTTGATTTTATTACTATAAGAGGTGTGTGGGTGGGTGGCACTCCTCTGGCTTTCCTCATAATTCCTCAGACATTTCAGCATTCATCTCAAATGGGCACTGTAATTCAGTGTCAAGGGTGAGATACAAATGACAAACCAAAGCAACAGCAGTTCAGTGGTGCTATTGCGATGCAAGGATTTTCCACAGTATTTAGTTGTTTAAAGAAGCATTTATCTTATTTGTTCAAATGTCATTTTCTTGCCACAGTCGTGATGTGAGCATTTCAAGGTAGCATTTAGACTTACTATGGGAACAAACTCATATGTGCAAACTTAAGGTTCTACGCTTGACAGATTTCACTTCAGCCTTATTTCCAAAATATTGTTGTGATGTTATGTTGCTCTGAGCTGCTGATCTTCATCAGTCACGATTATCTTAGAATCTGCATTCTGAAACAATTCAGTTCTTATGTTTAATTTGCATAACCAATTCATGCTAGTTTTGAGGACCTCCACATTTTAACATGGTCTTACCGCTTCTTCTCCACTGCAATTTTGGGACTGGCAAGTACCAGTAATTCTGTTCGGAATCAGAACATCTTCCCAGCAGGATGGACCCTTTTAAAAACAAAGCAAAAAAAATTAATATGCAGTTGGAAAGCAAATATTTCTATTTTCTTTTGGAAAATTCTTAAAGGGGAAGAAAGAACAAAAAGGAGAAACAACACTGCTTACTTACCTGTACCTGTAGCTCTTTGAGTGGTCATCTGTGCAGTCACTCATATGAGTTTGGTGCTTGTACAGTGACTCCACCTCTGGAACTTTCCAGAACTGAAACACTAAGGCAGGATGCCTGCCCTGCTTGCCTCCCCTGCATGCCTAGAGGGCAATGCTCCTGTCTTTCACCTCAGTTTTTCTATGAGTGCTGCAGTGCCACCCCCAGCCCAAGAAGAATGGTGCAAATCATACGAGCATGCTTGTAGAAAGGTGAGCTGTGTGACTTATACAGAAGACCACCTGAAGAGCTACAGTTACATGGAAACAACTTGCCCTTCTCTGTGGTGTCCCTGGATCATACATATGGGTGATTGGCTAGCTGGGTAACCAAAGGCAGAGAGAATAAGTGTCAAGTCAGTAAAAATGAAAGCACTGCTCATGTAAAGTATGCATCTTTCCTACCCAAAACATTTTTACTTTTGTTTTGCACTTGATGTACTTATTGAAGTTTGTATGCTGTGACTAAGTAGCAACCTTACATAAATCTTAAGGAGGAACACCTCAGCAAAAGGTACTGAGGAGGTAACATCCCACATGGAATGGGCCAGACAAACTGAGCAACCAACAGCTGGGCCCGAACATAACAGTGTATTTTTTGTGTATTTTTAAAAATACATATAGACAGGTTTTTTTCTTGGAACTGGAAAACCTTTGTTCCCGCCTCTTGAAGAATATTTTTCCCTTCTCTTTCCTTTTTTTCATAATAACAAGGGTCAGCCATAAGAAGGTTAAGAAAAATATAAAATAAAACTTTATCAAGAAGGTTAGAGTTTGTCCTAAGTTTTGGTACCAAGGAAAGACAAATAAGGCCAGATAAACCTGTACAAAAGTAACTAAATGTTTCCACCTTATTATGCTTTCAGTACCACTAATGTATATATGCTGCCTTTATTATATAATGCATCTTGTTTTGATATTTCCTGTCACTGCCATAGAAATGTGCATATATACAGTATATTAGATGGATGAAAGGAGCTGATTCCTATTGGATGGGCTTACTCTGTATTGCTGGTGTGCACTTACAATAGTTTTTTTCCTCCTAATGACTTTTGCTGTTGTTGCCTGTCTCTCAGACAGAGGTTAGAAAACGAACAAAGAGGGATTTATATTTTGTCCTCAATACTCTGGTACTGATGAAAAGCTTCAAGATGTTTGTTTGTTTGTTGTTGTTTTTTAAAGAAGTGGTCTGATAAAAACAGAAAGCTAGAGCCTTTGCATGTCTAAAATGTGCAGGGATGACTCCAAAGGTGTGGTTGGCTTGGGAAGAAGTTAGGAAGAATAGTTCAAATGGGAATCTGTCATGACCTTGGGCAGGAAAGTCAGTTCTGGCCTGAGTGCTGTTTTGTCCCTGTGAAGAGGGTCAGACTGGAGGGTCAACAGTTCTTTTGTTTGCTCTCTGGAGGTGTGATCTGATCACACTCTTCAAATGTACACAATCAAATAGCAGATGTGCCAAGTAGTTTGAAGGGTTTGCACATTAAAACCATGAAAAGGCTTTAGGCAGGGACTGGTTGGAAAATCAGCGGCTATAAATTATTTAGTCCTTTCAGGAATTTCCAAGCTAGTGAATAGGGAAAAATGTCCCTGAATCTGAGAGTGAAATGAAGATAAAACTGCCTCAACTACAAAGCATTAATAGAAACTGAAGAACATGGTGAAGAAAGCATGAGGCAGAATCAACTGTACCTCTGCCATAATTCCAAATAGCTGTTGGATTTCAGAACTAGACCAAGTCCTGTATGCAACCAAGCAAGACAAAATGACAGTGAATGTCCTGTCCAAGGAAAGCAGGTTCTGAGCTTCCTGAGAAAGACAGTTCCAACCTAATGAATCCAAGCAACTGGGGCAAAATGAGATTCCAGTACATTGACACAGAGGCTGTGGTCAGAGAGGTGTATAATAGAAAGAAGAGAAGTACAAAGTAGCATGTGAGACAGAGGCACAATGACCCAGTCACCCAGTAGTAACACACATATATTAATGACGACAAGAATATACAGAAGTAAAAATATGCATCCTTATGATCAATGCAAGTGCTCAGTCTCTTTCACAAAGAAGGGAAAGAATATAAGTCACAGACACTAGTCAGAACTGTATTGTTTGTCCTTTTTCTGGACCGTGAAATAATGGGACATGACATCTGGAGAGGCATGTAGAAGACTGATAGTCCCTCTCTGAGAAAGCAACAAAAACTTCTTACTATGGCCTAGCTCCACAACAGTGGATATACGGGACGGTATTGAAAAAGAAAAGAGAGACCATCAGATGAGATGTGGTACACATTTTCCAGCCTTTTAAAAGTTGAAGGAGCTGAAGAGGGCTTTTTCCCCAGGATTCTCTTGCCATCTGTAGGAAGGAGGGGATAAGTGCTAAAGTGACAAGATCAATGAATTATGAGTGGATGAAATCCACCACAGCATCATTGGACAGGAGAACCTGCCAACTGAATTTCAAAGCCTAAAGATGGAACCATGGCAAGCAATTGTTCCATGCAGCATTGTTGGGGATGAAGACGGAGGAATTGGCTATGAACACCCTGGTCCAGAGAAGAAGTAGAAGGTTGTGCTGCCTCAGATTCAGATGAATCCTATTGATGGCCATCTGATGATTCCAATGGAACTCTTTCAGTAGTTATGCTATGAAAGCAAGCTACTAAGCTACAAGTAGCCAAAGACAGGTCCTGTTGCACATTGCACTACAGAGACTCCAAGGGTTGGGGAAGGATCCCATTTAGTTGGAACTAATAATACTGCATATGATACCAAGAATGGTTGACCCTCCACCACAGAGACTAGAAGAAGCACTGAGATCAATGTGGCTTGCACTGATGCTACCAAGGTGACTGGAACCAAACATCTGGAATAATACAAGTCAGGTTTGCATTGGAATGGTGCCATAGAGAGCAATGGTGCCAAAAGGACACAGCAGGGATTACAGTTTTCAGTTCAGGACTTTTAGGTCTCTGCACCATCTGAATGGGTGAGAATAACAACAGTAGCAGTGTTGGGAGTTGGGACTGGTCCTGTTGGATATCAGCTTGTCTTGTAAGTCAGGCAATGACAATAATGTAGGGGGTATGAATCTACCTCTGGCAACCTAGAAAGGATTCCTTTTTCTTCTTGGGTCCTGCAGCCCAGTCCATGGAGGGCATTTAGCTTTGGCTTTTCTGCAGTAGATCCGTCTGCTGTCAGTGGTGAATTGCTTACCTGATGGATGGGATCCAACAGCAATTTAACTGATGAATTCAACTGTGCTTCAGGGACCAGTGCTTGGGATGATGAGAATGATGCCAGAACCAAAGTTCTTGTTAGAGCCATTATTAACAAACAGTCTTGATAAAATCACGGGTAAACAAGATCCCGATTACTTCACAAAATCTGCACTCTTCATTGTTTCCAAATGAAGACATAAGCAATGACTTCATCATAACTGCTTGGTGGCACACTGAAAAAGTGACCATGATTCTACTGTAACACTGTAACACAAAGAGAAAAGGCAGGGACTGTACCCAATGGTGTATGGAAATGGGCTCCTCTAGTAAGCACATTTACAGAATGGGGCCCAAAATTCATATGCTGCTGTTCAAGAAGACTAGTTCAAAACATGCTCACATTTTTTAAAAAACCCAACATGTAAGAGAGTGCACTAGACAAAACTAAGAGAATGAATAAGACAAATAAAAAGGTAGATAAAAACACTCAGCTTAGTTGCTCAAACTGAGTTATTACAGAAAGCTCTCAAAGCTGCTGCTGCAATGGCAGGTAAAGAGGGGGAGAGCTTGAGAAAAGGTTTTCTCAGTGGCTGCTCCAGATGTTCAAAATTCTTGCTAGAGAAGGCCAGGCTATCCTTTTCTGACGACCCTCTACTCAAGGGCAATACTTTTGTATAGTATACATTTGGTATACCATTTATGTATAAGTGCCTCCATGATGGGACTTCTCCTCATCCCTACACCCACCATATCCCTTAGACATCTGCTCTAGATGTTCCACCAGTCCTCTGAAGCAGATCAGGCTGTATGGAAAACTGGGTATGGAAGGCTGAATGGCAGACAGGAAAACTGCCGGTAGTTTGTCAGCAGCTGGTTGAAGTCTGATAGAACCTACAGTAACTGGCTTTAACAAGTTACTGCCTTCCTGCCTTGTTTTAATGTTTGTGTTACTATCATTTATTTTGTTTTATGTATTATACTGTATTTGTCTTGTTGTTAGCTTCCTTCATCTCCATTTGGTGGAAAGAGGGAATATAAGTTTTACAATTAAAGAAATATAAATGCAAAACACACCAGAAAAGCTTTCAAATATGGAAATATATAGACTGCAAACATAATTGCTACTGACAAGTCAATAGTAATTCACTCTAGCTCTGACGACATAATCCCACCACTGACCTCTTCCTACTAGAATAATGAGGGTGTTCAGTAAATAAATGACCACATTGTCCCTTGTGACTCTATATACCCTCCTCCCCCCTTTGTATCTAATAAGTCATTAAGACTGTTCCACCCAGATTAGGTCATGATGTTGCTTCCATTTGAAGAATGCAAATAGAAAGTCAGGTGCTCAATATATAGCAGCTATCATAATTATTTAAGTGAACAATTTGCAATACAGACATGTAGGTAAGTGTCTAATAATCACTATTGCGACAAGACCTTTGCTCATGTAAAGCAGCTTTCAGAATCCAACATATATTCATTGCCTTCAACTGTAATCATAGAAGAATCTGTACAATTATTGCAGACAGCAAACCTGCCAACTACTCTATGATTCTGCCAGTCCAATAATCAAAGTATGTGTCATAAGGACTACAATGTTATAATGAAATAACAGCAGGCATCC